GGGATGATCGCGGGAAAGTGCTCCCCCGCGATCATCCCAAAGGCCCCATTTTCACACAGCTGATCGCCGGGGCCTTTGGGATGATTGCAGGGAAGCACTCCCCCGCGATCATCCCAAAGGGCCCATTTTCGCACAGCTGAGCGGCGGTTCCAAAATGGCCGCCCGCTGTGTTGCCTCGCTTTAGAGGCACCGAAAATGGCCGCCCCTATGGAGGATTTTCGCATAAGGTGAGTTTTTAAGCCCATAGGAATGCATTAATCCCAGAACTATAATTGCAATTAATAATGAGCTTAAAGACCACCAGTAGTGAATAATTAGTTGGACTGTATTACTTGGCCTGCGGTGTAGATGTTTGTATTTTTAGTGGGGGACTTTTAGTGGGTGGGGAGTGTTTGGGGAATTTTATGTGTGTGCATGTGTCTGGTCTCTGGGTGTCTGTGAATTTCGTTGTATGGGTATACTGTGTATATACTGACAATGACAATAAATTATTATTATTATTATCATCATCATCATCATCATCATCATCATTATTATTAAACGCATTTTAATGCATTTCTATGGGCTTTTAAAAATCGCTTAGCGATATTTTTTCCTGCACGGATTAACGTCACTAAGCGAGGCACCACTGTAATTCCAAAGTCAGTGGGTAAAGGGCCTATCCTATAAATAGGTCTTAAACTGGGAAGTCTTTCTTCCCCATCATCCCATTTTCAAGAAAATTGTCAGCACATGTAAGGAATCTGTCCTGAAGTCTTTAGTTTGTGAATACTGTACTGACATTTCAAACCCCAAATTAAATCACTTTCTATCAGTGATTGCACTTACCTTCAATTCTCTGCAATAAGTCATTCTTCGGCAGTGTAACAACTTCTACAAATTCTGGGGAAGGAAAGAATAAGGGGGAAAATATACACTAAATGATTTGTGCTACATTCAGTAGTGACCCTCTTTTCCTAACTAAAGCAAACAGAAGATTAAAGCTGGCTGCCCCCTTTAATGTGAACAGCAAGAACAAGAACAAGCTGCTCAGTTTAAGCTGCAATTAGAAAGTGGGGACACAACTATGTCTCTATGCACATGGTCCCTTTGCTCAACCCAACACCAGTTCTTGCTGCAAAAATGGGCTGCCACAGTGGCTGGAGGTGGACACAGCGAGCAACAACAACAACAAAAAGGAAATAAAAAAGGACCAGCCTATTCTTGGTGATACTTCCTGTGAATTATTGCTTTTTTTAACCACAAGGGCCTGATTATGAAGCTGCTTCCTACCCTGCTTGCCCAAAAATAAGACCTAACCTGAAAATAAGACCTAGTAGGATTTTTCAGGATGCTCACAAGCCCTACCCCAAAAATAAGCCCTAATTTAGTGAAACCCCGCCCTCCACCCTTGTGTAGCAACCTGCAGATGATGACATGACTATTTGAAAAAATGTAGATGGTTGTACATGAAAAAAATTAAACATCCCTTGAAAATAAGCCCTAATGCATTTTTGAGCAAAAATTAATATAAGACCCTGTCTTATTTTCAGGGAAACACAGTATAATGTGAGCCTCTGCACCCTAAACTACATTGTCAGCAAGACTGATTATCCATAGATGCCACTTTCCCAAATGCAATTTTTTTTCTTCTGGGCTGCCAATTGGATACTATGTTTGCTTCCATCAGGAAACTTGATTTGGGCAGTAGGTTCCCCAGTTCCTGCCCCTTTGTTCAGGAGAAAATCCCGGCACTGGTGATCTCTTAATTCTTTATACTGAGTACAACAGTACAGAAACCATGGAAACAGTCTTCTGAGTTTTGAAACTTATTTGGAAGAAATACAGGGCAGAATCCCATGTGAGGCCTTTCTGCTTAGGTAAAATTACTGACACTAACAGAAGGGCTACACATTTGAATTTCAACTTACAGAACTGTGCAAAAAAAAAAAAGAGAGTGAAAACTAGAAGAAGTTCCTCCACCTCCTGAAGGAATTGTGAAAATTCCTAGATAAATGGAAGCATGAGGACTACTACAGAGTATTTCTCAAAGCAGCATATGAACATTCTCCACAAGCAGGGGCTCAGAAAAACAACCTTGATGGAAATGCCCACTGGTTAAGACCAGACTACCCAGCCTCTTTCTGCAGTGAGAGAAAAAGAAGTCTCCTTGCTCTTAATCCTGACTTTCTAAAGAGGAGAATCTTTTCCCGCTTCCCAAACTTTTCCAAAGTCAGTCTGATATCTGGGATATTCCTCACCCCTCCATCCTTTTACTTAGCCTAGAACCTCCCAGATAATGAACTAGGAAATGGGGTACTTACAACAGAGATAAGCCTCTCCCCTCCCCCCCCAAAAAAACAGCTCAAAGAAAGGGTCAAAAGTGTAACTCCACAGCTGCACCAAATCTCTGAAAAGCCACCACACCAGCCTCAGCACCCCCACGTTTTGGCATATTTCAGAAGCTAAACTGAGTCAGACCTGTTTAGTACTGTATTTGGATGAGAAAATCTAACTAATGTAAACCAGGGATCTCCAGGTATGGTCAGTGAAGTCTCAGGCCACAAGCTCTGGAGAGACTGTCCCAGTCACTGCTGACAGTACTAGGACCGATGGACTTATAGTCTGACAGAGAATAAAGTACTTATCCATTGCTAGATCAGTTCCATTAGCATCACTGCTGACAGTACTAGGACCGATGGACCTATAGTCTGACTGAGAATAAAGTACTTATCCACTGCTAGACCAGTTCCATTAGCTTAGCCGAATGATTCCTTTGGATATTGAGTTTCCTACAAGTACTTATCCACTGCTAGACCAGTTCCATTAGCTTAGCCGAATGATTCCTTTGGATATTGCCCATAGTTTCCTACTTGTTATTACAGGGAATTAAGAAAACAAGAGATTAAGAGGGAGTAAACTCTATATACCTTTCCTACAGATTATTTTCGGCGGAAAGAACTCTACAAGCTACAGTAGAAGGCTGAATTCTTTATAACTCTCTCACCATCATCAATATCCTTCAGTGTGTTAATAAAAAAAAAACAATATCACTTAGATGATCCAGAAAGACACCAGGTTTCTAATGAAGTGAACACATACATGCACACTGTAAAGGAGAACCGGAATACTTATCTGCGATTCTAGCCATAGTGAACTTAAGAGGACAACATACCTCCTTCCTCTGTATGGAAAAGAGAGAAAAAAGCAGAAACACAACAGAACTTGTATGTTTGGGAAGTTAACTTTCAACTTTCATTGTTGAATAATGTCTCAACAATAATGCTCAAACAATGTGCTTTGTGATCTCAGCTCACTGAAATTATTTTGCTCTGTTCCTTGGGACTGGTTCTGAATTGCACTTTTTTGGATCTGGATACAGGAGGCTCCTAGACAGTTCAGGCATCATTGTCTGGCTTCATTTAT